AGCTGCTGGGAAGCGAAAAAAAAAACCAAACAAAGGCCAAGCGGAGAAAGCTTCAGCAGCAGGAAGAAGGATTGATCACAGACAGGATTCGACGGTAAGCAAACCACCCAGTTACGAAAAAAAAAAAATCAAGTAATCATACAAACAAAAAGCACCACTGGACATTGCTCTTGGGGCAGTCCAGAGATGATGGATTGAGTGTGTGTTTTTGTGTATGGTTTTTCGCAAGAGACCCTTCCATGTCGATGCAATGGTTGGTCGGTTTGCACGTGAATGGAATAGTGTTCTGAGAAATTGATCTGTTTTCTGACAACGTTCGGGTTTGAGTGGACACGTAGCTAATGAGATACTGTTAGAATTGAGGGAATTTTCCGGCACAAAAGAAAATGGTATTGGTTGCAATGAATTACTGTTTGTATAATCGTTCGATCATTACATATTTCGCGTAGAATCAAATGGATATTTAGCCACAAACAGCTTCTGCTGTAGGGGGCCTGGGAGAATGCCCGGCACCTTGAGCATTATGATTATTTGAATATAACAGAGTGATTATTTCAGGGTTGTCAAAGCTGGCGTGGATTCTGTGAAAGCATTGTTATAAATTTATTTATCAACTATTAAACCAGCCTACGATTTTTCCTTAGTTAAGGCAATTTAAGGTGATACTCTATGAAAGCCGTAGCGTGAAACCCCAAAAGCACAAATTTCAGCTTCCACAAAACATACAATTCTGAAATTGCTACTCTCTGTTAGTGGTAGTGCGGCAACCAAGGAGTAGCAATTTCATATTTGTCTATTTTGTGGAAGCTGACATTTGTGATTTTGAAGTTCCACAATAAGGCATCTTTATACCCAACGCCTATTGAAGAAACGACTTCTTGACGATTTTATTCAACAGCATGCTGAATAACATTTGTACAATTTTTAATAATAACGCCTGTTCAGGCTTTGTTCACACAAATCTGAAGAATTTATTCAACCACAACATGGTGTCGGTTACGGTACGTCGAGAAGCTTTCATTTGACTTTCATGAGTTGTAGCAGAGCGTATTCGTTAAAATGTTTTATTATTCAGCGTTTATTAGACATCTTTGCGATGATGTATACGCTTGATAATCATGTATGTATGTATGTAAGGTAGCCACCATCCCTTCAAAGATCATGTCTTGTATGTAGCTCCACGTAATAGCAAAATCAATTTGAGCTACCGATCTGAATTCACAATATCGCTGTATGAAGGGCCGAAAACGAAGGTGCAGACCCGTAAGCAGAGACACTTACACGAAATCCACGACGATACGATCCAACAAATCGAATGACACAATTCGCAATACTTATTAAGCTTTCTACAGGATGGTTTATAAAGTAGGGTGCGTCAATCTCACTGAAACTGTTAAAGTAGCATTCACACCACTACTACAATCAAATCGGTAGGATAAAGAAAATGATAGTGTTCATTCCCTCCTAGACTCCGGTTGTCATACCAGTCCATCGTCCAGATCCAGGTAAAATGATACCCTGATGCTCGCACCCAGCCCAGTATTTATAAAATGAAAATATAAGAAATTGAGAAATTAAATATATCAGAACATTGAATATGAAATAATGAATATAAATTTACATAGATAAAATAGTTGATATTCTGCAATGAAAATAATCATAATTTTACATATAATAAGATGCAGCTCTATGTTTCCTTAACTCACAATTTCAAGTGGATGTAACACTGAAATTTCAAGGTTATATTAAGCAAGTATAAGGCCTGTACTCGAAAAAAAAAAGAAAAGTAAGAGGTTGTATCCAAGACACGACCGTAAATTTGACGTAGGATTACGAAAGGTAGTTATGATCGATTTCAATCAAACAAGGTCTGGAACAACAAGTAGCTTGCTGGTGTTAGAAGCACACATGTTGTAAACATTGCTGAGCAACCGAATGCCGATGTCACGGCAGCACAACATTCCATACTGCGAATAGCAGACGTGTCGTCACAGTAAACAGCTGTTTCGTGTAAAAAGATTAACATTGCGATGAAATACGACCACCACTAGACATTTTCACATTTCACTAAAACCAATAAGCCGGTTGGGCCAGACCTTGTATAATTGACATCGAGTTATGATGTCACAGAAAAAGTATAGTAAATGTTAAATTTATTTCGTAACTCGTTATTAGTGAAAAATTTCAAAATTCAAATCAAAATCATGATTTTACCGACAAACCAATATGCACAGCATTACGAAAAGAGGTCAGGTTTCGACCAATAGAAGATAGATTTTAATTCTAAACAAGCCAAACGATTGGAAATTTATCTACTAATCTGCTAAAATGAACACTAAGTTAATTTTCAATAGGTCACTATTGAAAAATACCAAATGTCCAACTGTTGCAATGGTGATAAAAATTATCACCGAATGTCTGAAAACAGCGCATTCCCTAACACAGACTTAAAAATCGAATTCCATGCGGTCCCACTACATGGTGCTCATTTAATCACCTTAATTGGTGGTGACCGGTCATCGGCCATCACCTGACCTCTTTTCGTAATTCTATCGGTTTTTTGAAATTGCACCCCCAATATGTTGCCGAAAGACGTAATCCTACGTCAAAATCATACTTATGGGTCGTGGAGTTATAATTGTCAATGTTCCGAGACTTGGAAGCATTTTAAGGGTTATAACAAATTACAGAACAATCTATAAAATATTGCGGACAAACCCTGGAGTTTTTAGTAAAAATTAAAAGTATTCTAGGTGTTGATTTCAAATAAATATTGAGGAGGGTTCCCACATTATTTTCCAAGGGAGAAATTCTGAGTAGAATTCCAGAATTATTATGACATGAATTCCTTAGATGAATTTAGAGGGATTTCTATGCAGAAGAATGAAAGTTTCAAATTAAAATCTTAGGTAATTTTAGAAAATTTCAAAAGGAGTTTTGAAAAAAAAACTTTAAGGGAAATTCCTACGTGATTCTGAGGAGATGTTTCAACAAGAATTCAACAAGACACAGAGTTCTAAGAGTGTTCCGTGGATAATTTCAACCCTAGTGCGATTCATCACAGAGCTTCAACCGAATTGATTGCCAAAAAATTGCTGATAATTAGAAAGAAATTCTTTAAAATACTCCATGGGGTTACTTATAAAATTTCATAAAATTTCTGCTGCTTTGAATAGAAAATTTTGAAAAGAATTTCAAAGGAATGAAAGTCTCCGAATGGGTTTAAAGTAATTCTACGAAGGACTCCAATCGAATTCTTAGAAAGAGTTTCAAGGAAATTCCAAAAACAATTTAACGGTAATTATTGCTCGGAGTGTTTCTGGTTAATTTCAGAAGAATTCCAAGATAATTTAGAGCAGAATTTCAAGTTAATTCTGGAATTCATATCATCAGCATTTTGAAGCACGAGAAATTAAAACCCCAGAAAAAATAGTTTAGTTTTGGTTTTACAAATATTTGTTTCGAAAGTCCAGCATCTTCCATATTTTCCTTTCATGCCCATTACATCTGAAATTGAAACGACAAAAATCGATTTGAAATATTGCTGAGTGATTCAATTCTAAAAACAATAGGACGGGAAAGATAAGAAAATTATGCAGCAAATAAAGTAAGACATTCATTTGGTAAAGAATCGCTCTGTTTTAATTGTTTATTCTGAAATCCTGGTGTAAGCAATTGTTGCTGTGGCATGGTTAATTTATTTTCCCCGGTTCACTCTTCGAATTCCCGGGTTTTTCCCAGTTCGATGGCCACCCTGCAACTTAGCCTGGTGGCAGGATGGCATCGTTACTTTCTCTAGCTATGACCTGAGACGAATCCAAAGGAATAGGTAGAAGCATCTTGTGCATCAAGAACAAAGAAGTAATGCATGCGGGGTCATAATGCGGACAGACGGATTTCCCAACTTTGCCTGGTGGCAGGATGGCATCGTTGCTTTCAAATGAAATTATCTCGTTGTCTCCGGTTGGCAGTCTACAAGTCCTGTAGCTGAATTCCGGCACACAATTTCTTTGAAGATAAGAAAATTATCACGTTGAATCTCAATGAACCAAATCCCTTCGAAGAAACTGCGCGCCGGAGTTCAGCTGCTGGTAGGACCTTTTTTTCTGGATTTCTAGGCTGCAAATCGGAGACGAGGTATTGGTCAATCGTTTTCAATGTCCTCTACGCGAGGGGATATGAGTTGCTCCGTTTTTTTTTAGACAAACCAGCCACAATTTCATTGAATAAAAGAAAATTATCACGTTGAATCTCAATGAACCAAATCTCTTCGAAGAAACTGCGCACCGGAGTTCAGCTGCTGGTAGGACCTTTTTTTTTCTGGATTTCTAGGCTGCAAATCGGAGACGAGGTATTGGTCAATCGTTTTCAATGTCCGGGGATATGAGTTGCTCCGGTTTTTTTTAAACCAACCGGCCTTTTTTCGCATCTCACGTATCACAAAATGACATTGGAGTTGGACATGGTTCACCCCAGCTGCTTGCCCACATATTGCAACAGCTGTCGAAACTAAAACAAACAAACTAAACAAATTCCCGAATTTGAGAAAAGTAAAGATTGGATTCACTCAGTCTGCTGGTCGAGAGTGAATAAAATTTTCGTCCATTTCCTCATTTTACGGCAGATTTTTTATGTTTTCCACAGGAAACCATGAGACAAATTTTACTCATCGCTGAGTTCCTGCACTGTTGGCGATTATGAGTGAACTAAACTCAAATTTGGGTCGTTCTCATTCGCCGTGCAGTGTTGTATATATACGGAAACAACGAAAACAACATTCAACACGACACATGAGCTGTCATTTGCTTCGGAAAAAGCTTTCACTAATACTAATCAAGCTCATGTGTAAAGTGTAGTGTGACATAAAAACGATCAGTTCGACGAGTTTATTTTCGGTGCAATTGTAGGGGCCTATCGAACGAGGATAGACCTTTTTCCAACGTTACGCGAGATTTGATGACAGTCCCAGGGAACCGTTTGAACGTGCATCACAATAAATTAGTGTCAAAAAGTGTTTTGTGTTTTAAATGTAAAATTGAATTATTTTACTATTCAGTGCTTTACTTTGATGAATTATTATCTGCTAAACGATGAGTGACGGTGATAAAACCATGTACGGGACAACACTGTCCCTTGAATCCATCAAGGTGATTGCGGAAAGCATCGGCGTAGGTAGTTTGCCCGATGACGCGGCCAAGGAGCTCGCCGACGATGTTTCCTTCAAGTTGAAGCAGATTGTCCAGGATGCGGCAAAATTTATGCACCATTCCAAACGGATGAAGATGTCGATTGCCGATATCGACCACTCACTCAAAGTACGCAACATTGAACCTCAGTATGGGTTTGTTTCGCCAGATTTCATTCCATTCCGTTTTGCTTCCGGAGGCGGCCGGGAGCTACACTTTATCGAAGAAAAAGAAATCGACCTGGCGGACGTAATTCAAACACCTGCGCCGAAAATTCCCCTCGATATAACGTTGAGGGCTCATTGGCTGTGTGTGGATGGTGTACAACCGACGATTCCAGAGAATCCTCCTCCTCTTTCGAAGGATCTTCAAGCACTGGATTCGGTCAATCCTGTCAACAAGCTTGATAGAGCGCATATGAAAGATACAACTGGAAAGCCGGCCATAAAAGCTCAGAAGCTGAAAAACGTAGAAACGGTTCACGTTAAACAGTTGGCCACCCACGAGTTGTCCGTGGAGCAGCAGCTGTATTACAAGGAAATAACGGAGGCTTGCGTAGGGTCGGATGAGGCACGGCGAGCGGAAGCTCTCACATCGTTGGCATGTGACCCAGGGTTACACGAAATGCTACCAAGAATGTGCACATTCATTGCCGAGGGTGTGAAAGTAAACGTTGTACAAAACAATCTAGCCCTTCTGATTTATCTGATGCGAATGGTACGGGCCCTTTTGGACAATCCGGCGTTGTATTTGGAGAAATATGTAAGTTTCCGGAGTAACTTTATACTAAAGCAAAAGACAAATAATGTCATCACTTTTTTTTTCTAGCTTCACGAACTGATTCCATCCGTTTCGACGTGTATAGTTTCTAGGCAGTTGTGTATGCGACCGGAATTAGACAATCATTGGGCCCTCCGAGATTTCGCTGCCCGTCTAATGGCTCAGATTTGCAAGAACTTCAACACTTCAACAAATAATCTGCAAACTCGCGTTACTAGATTGTTCAGTTCTGCTTTGCAAAATGATAAAACACCCCTATCTTCCCTGTACGGAGCATTGGAAGGCTTGTCAGAGCTTGGCACTGAGGTGATCAAGGTTTTCATCATCCCACGCTTGAAGTTCATTTCCGATCGAGTGGAAGTTCATTTGCAAGGGTCCAATATCAGTGCAACGGACAAGATTGCAGCTGGTCACATTCGGGCGATGTTGCAGAAAGCGTGCTCTCCAGTTTTGAAGACCCTTCGTAATCCACCGGATGTCGTTGAGGAATACAAGTCCGTATTTTGTTTATTCTGTTTCGAACCTGTCCAAACTAACGTATTGTCATTATAGGAAAGATTACGGATTTCTTGGACCTACCTTACACCAGGGGGTCATCAAAGCACGAACCGCACCTCCACCAACACCTGCTAGCACTAGTGCAAGTGCTTCAGCAGCTAATGTTTCAATTGTTACGACCACGTCCAGTACACCGGCTCGACCGCAAACGCCCCTCACCGGTGCAAGTAAATCAGCTACACCGGTTACTCCAGGTCCTATTCAGAGACAGTCTTCTCAGAGTGGACCGTCAACCGGAGGGCAGCAGCAAAAGTTTGTAATCGTGAGTCAACGTCAGCAAACTCCTTCGCCATCGCAAGGTAAGCTAGGCCACGCTTTTGACAGTAGTTTATTGATCCTTCAACTAACCAATAATGTAATCGACTAAAACATGATCTTCTCAAACGGACCGGTAAAGCGGGTATCTTTTAGAGAGTGGTGATTAGGAACTCATACAATTTCACTGAAACAAGACACACGTAAAACAAATATAACTTTGCTTTTCCTTATTTCAGAAGTTGCTGAGTATTTTTGCTGAAGCTTGGATCAGCGCCTAGCTAAGAATGCTCAATTTAACCCTTGAGCTCAAAATTTGACTAGACATGGATAAAGCATTATAAGCAATTCTAGGTTTTAGGAAAAAAAAATCTCGACATGTCGCTCTACATTAGAATATAGAACTTTGGGATTTTACAGAATATATTTTATATTATTCGGAAATTATTTTGGTCATAGGTGTATGTGCAAATAATTTCCTTAGGATTATACAAAAAAAAAAGTAAATCCTTGACGTTAAATTTACTAGAATCCGAACGGCCGGAATTTGATGCTAGGTGAAAATCTGGTGAAACACAGGAATAAGATGGGCATTGTTTGTTCAACTTTTCTATTGCTTTGAATTATTGCTCTGCTTTATGCATGTCAAGATAAATTCTAACTGAAGCTGAAGCTCTCTTCTTTTCCGTGGCTATTACGTTCCAACTTGAAGCTTACGTTTGCATACGTGTTCTTTGAACAATTCCACGGCTTTCTAAGCCTACACTATTTTGCATTCGTATATTTCATAACAACGACAATCACATCCTATGCCCGCCTCCGAGCGCTTTGTAATCGGCATTAACTAACTCTGCAATGTGAATCAAAATGTAGGGTAAGATGTGGCAAGATGAGTCATCTACTTGATTTTTTTTATTGTTAACATCAACATTAACATAATGCTGGTTTGCAGCTAACCACAATAGGGGTTGCATTGGACCTGTTGTTTTTCACAGACAAATAAATTATTAAATGTAGTAGTTGACCCATCTATACACAAACAATAGAACCTACTGTTAAAGTGCAATAAAAAACAATTGTGGTGACAATACATTTTATAATGAATAATGACGATGGTCCCACCTCTTACCCCTACAAAGGTTTGAGCTGGACGATTTATCTTTAAAATAATTAAATATGACATTTTAACCAGGTTAGCAAACAAAATCGAACTGGTTTCAGTTACAGATATAAATTCCCTCTAGAGTTTACAGTTGCTTCACAGCTATATAAATGAGGAAAAGCTCAGCCGTCCACCTCTTAGTTCGCCTTTTTGTCCACCTAAAATATTCATAAGTATTACAAGCAATCAAGAGTTAATGAACAATCAACAAAGCATCCTATTACACTAGCAACCCCGCAATCTGATCATAATTTTCAGCAATGTCAGAAATGCTCACGAACCCCCAACAGTTGCCAGAAAACTTACTACTAACTCAAGGTATCTTCCAAGTAAGCTTCAAAATACCATTTTTTTTTATCAAATGAAGGGCTGATACAACAGGCGCGAATTTCACGATTTTCGCGGATTTCGCGATTTTCGCGGATTTCGCGACTTTCGCGGATTTGAACTTTCAGTCGCGAAAATCGCGGAAACATTAAATGATGTCGCGAAAATCGTGAAGGGACTGATGTGCTGTCACAAAAATTGTGGAATTCATTGTAACCTTTCCGTCCCGGATTATTTTGCTGTCATCAATTTTGTTGTTCATTTGGCTCTCAATTTTTTACCGGTTTAAACCAAACACCCTGCAAATAATCGAGAAATGATCTCAATTCCATAAGTCACACCGGATTTACACGGAAATTCCGTGAGGTCTGTCCAATGAGAGACATTTTCATGTTTTATTTATTTCCAATATGAACATAGCATTTTTCGATGTCAAATCATAAACGAATCGTATATATGCGGGTAATTACCATGTATACCGGATATTATAGGTTCTCCATATCGTCCTGGAGTTCAGTTGATTTGTTCAACTATATCAACCAAGACTGCAATAATGTCTGTAGTATCGAAATATGTCCAAACAGATTCAAAGTGTCTATGTGGATTGTGCCCGACCTATTGCTACGTATACAAGATGTTATAGGTTCTGAAATCATTCTGGAGATCAGATTATGTTTCTACTAAATCACCCATGCCTAATTCAATATCTGTAGTATCGAAATATGTCCAAATAAATGTGCAGTCTCTATGTGGATCATGCCAACCTATATTCGTGAATGCCAAATATTTCCTAAGGATTTCCATATCGATATTTCGATACTACAGATCATAGATCATCTGGTATACGTGGAAATAATTAAACATTATCCATATAGCCACTACGAATCTGTTTGGACATAATTCGATACTACAGACTGTATCCCAGTCATGGTTGATCTAGTAGAATAAATCATCTGAACTCCAGAACGATTTGGAGAACTTAAAACATCTGGTATACATGGCAATAGTTCATGCATGATTCACATAGACACTGTGCATCTGTCTGGAAATATTTCTATATTAAAGACATTGTCCCAATCTCGGTTGATCTAGTAGATCAAATTATCTGAACTCCAGGACGATTTGAAGAATTTACATCTGGATTACTCGGAAATAGATCATGCATGATCCACATAGACACTTTGAAACTGATTGGACATTTTTCGATACTACAGACATTATTGCAGTTTTGCCCAGACAACCAGAATGCACGTATATTCAAAGTTGTTTTGGTGATATACAAACATATATACAAACAAACAATTCGTATATAATGCAAAGAAATGGCTTATACGTACAAAAGTGGAGGCCATATACGTGCATATTTTAATTTAATTTTAAACGAGTTGATTTAATATCATATACGATGTAATCTGTAATAACAAATTCATTTTGAAAAGTCTTACGATGTAATCCGATTTAATTTGTGATACAGTACGATGGAAAAATAAGTCATCGCATATTGGTCGGAAATTTGCATTATATACGATTTAACTTAAACATAATGCGAGGTATGCCATTCTTATATGCGATTTTGACTTAAACTGTAGCAATTTATGATACTGTCTGTACATTATTATACGACTTCTGGTTGTCTGGGTGGTTGATCTAGTAGAAAAAATCAAATTTGTAAAACCTATAATTTCCAGTAAACGGCGCCGGTGGTGTAGTGGTAAGCGTGATTACCTCTCACCACAGCAGGCCTGGGTTCAATCCCAGTCGGCGCCATCGGGATGTTCTGAGGCATAACATCTCTGATCACGCCTTCCTTCGGATGGGAAGTAAAGCCGTTGGTCCCCGGTTCATGAGTTGATGGGTCGATAGGTAGGGTCCAGGTGTGGGAGCTGCTGCCTTCCTGGCACGTCGGTAGCATTGGTGCTCAGCACGGAACAAGATCGAAGGAAAAAACAAACCAAAGAAAAAAAAAATATAATTTCCAGTACACATAGTAATAAGTCGTGCATGATCCACAAAGTCACATATATATGATTCGGTTATGATTTGCCAACGAAAATACAATGTCTCACCATTGGACAGACCCCAAGGAATATCTGTGTAAATACAGAACCGCGACGTGACCAACAAGTGTGACTTATGAAACTCTGGTAATTTCTCGATTATGTGCAGGGTGTATGGTTTGAATCGGTCAAAAATTGAGAAAACTAGCGCCAAATTAACTACAACATTTAGGACAGCAAAATACGTCAGAGACGCACAGGTTAACTTTCATGATTTTTTTTAAAATAATGCTTCATCAAATCTAGGCCTGTATTATTCAATAGAAACATTCATAAACTAGGGGGCGACCACGCCAAAGTCACGAGTTCAAATCTCACCTCCGGACAAGTCACGAATGGCTCAAGAGTGTTAATGTGACCATAATAATAATAAAAAAACATTCATAAATAACTGAATTTTTTTCAAAGTATACAAACGATACTCCCTTAGCTCAGTCGGTAAAGGCGCAGCTACAAAGCGAGGCCATGCTGGAGGCGACTGAGTTCGATTCCCGTTCGATCTATTAATTTTTCGGGTTGGCAAATTTCTCTACTCCCTTGGGCATAGAATGGTACAGACATAGAAAGCTCTCAAATCAATGTGAAGGTACTTCAAAGAACACTAAGTTCAGAGCAGGCAAAATCTAATATGCTATATGCAATAAGCTTGAAATGCCATGTAGTAGGGTTAACTACCCCATTTCCGGCCTATTAAGCACAACCCGCACTTAGTCTTTCTTAATCTAGCGCAGTTTAGCACCAACCGGAATGTTATTATTACTGATAGCTTCCAAATTTATTTACCTTTTCGTACGTACTGTAAGATTTGATAAAGAGAAACCAATCGTTGAGATATTGTCAAAAGTCTAACATTGTTTCTTGACGCCAAACTCGGCCTACGGATTCTAAACTCGGCCTAACGCATTGAAACTCCATTGAAACGCCAATTAATTCACTTCGGCCTATCGGATGAAGAGAAAAATTGATTCGGTCGGCGCGCTTCTTTTGTTTTTGGGAATTATGGATGCAAACCTTCATATCACGCGTTTTATTGACTTCGTTCGGTAGCTTATTAACTAAAGTATCGTACCAAAATCATAATTGACTTGTTAACTCTGAAATCATGGATTTATTTGAAGTTTTCTGCTCGATAGGCCCAAAATGGGCGATTAGGCCGAAGTAGTTCTTAGTATACAAATGGTATTTTTAGGCAATGAAAACAGTTTTTTTTTGTCGCGGATTAGTATTTGAAGTCGCGGATTTCTTTTGAGAAATCGCGGATTTCGCAGATCAAATTTAGAAAATATTGTAACAGCCCTGCAAATGTTATATTCAGTCCTCTATATCCGTAATACGCGCGCGAGGCTCTGTAGACTACATTCTTTTTTATTATTAATCTACTATTAAATCAAATATTAAAAATCCATCATCACCATCGTGGCGAACAGAAATAGTTTTTGCAGTGCTACAATAATTATTAAAAAAATCACTGGATAACTGTTCAAAAGACAGTTTTAAC